CATCGTACCAGGCTACCTTTATTTCCTTTTTTCCACATACATTAGTTCTGTAAATTTCAAATTATTTTCTAATGGTTGCCTCACCTTTTCTTGTCCAAATCTGCAAGAAATGATAGAACACATTTCTAAAAGTCACTCACAGAAAAATAGTCTCAACACCTCAGCATTTCTTGGCTCTTGCTACTCTAGAGTCATCCATACTAATTTTTAAATATCAATTCCCACTAATTGGAGCTTAACAGGTCTCTACCGTTTTGAACCAGCAGTGGTACTGTCAATCATGTACTACTGATGGTTTCAAGCCAGTGAGAAGGTTACACATTAAAATCGGCAGCCCGGCAGCCAGGCAGGAATTATAGCCCCACTATGAACATTTTAAAAGGTTACAAAGTAGAGACATTTTTGGTGATGTTGAATATAAACTAGAGCTCATACCTATATTGTCTTTTTTTTTTTTTTGGTACTGGGGATTGAACTCTGGTTCTTGAGCTTGCGGGGGCAGGTGACTGAACCATTGAGCTAAATCCCCAGCCCTCTATATTGTCTTCTAAACTATTCCAATCTTCATGTAAACTGTGTCATGTCTTTGATTTTTATTTGAAATAGGGCCTTGCATTAACCCTAGTCCATATGGATATACCTTTTTGGTCCATGATGAACCCCAGATAGACCAAAGACCTCAGGATAAGGGCTAAACTATAAAACTCTGAGAAAAAAACTTTTTAAATATTGGACTTAGCAAAAACTGTATAGATATGACACCAAAAGTAGGACAATAAAAGAAAAAATAAACTGATCTTCATCAAAATTAAAAACTTTTAGCCAGGCATTGTGATACACACCTATAATCCCAGTACTCTGGAGGGTAAGGCATGAAGATTGTTAAGTTGCCTGGGCATTAGGGACTTAGCAAAATACAAAATAAAAAATAGTGTTCAGAGAGAAGGTCATGGGTATAATCCCCATTACAGCAAAACCAAACCAAACCAAGCACATATATGCAGACACAAACAATTATGCAACAGAGTATACAATCAAAAAAGCCAGAAGACAACCAACTAAATGGGAAAAAATATTTCTAAATCATATATATAATAAGAGATTAAAACCCAGAATATATAAAGAAATTCTAAAGCTCAAAAGTACAAGAATGTAACTCCCCCCAAATTGGCAAGGGACTTGCAAAGACATTTCTTTAAGAAGATATTCAAATGACCATTAAGGATATGAAAAGATGCTCAACATTATTAGTCATTAAAGAAATGCAAGTCAAAACCACAAGGAGATACCTACACTTTGTACCTACTAGGATGAGTATAATTTAAAAACTAAAAATAGCATTAACCAGTACATGGAGAAACTGGAGCCCTTGTACTTTGTTAGTGGTGATGGAAAGTGGTGCAGTTGCTGTTGGTGATTTTTTAAAATGTTAGAACTACCATATGACCTAGCGATTCCATTCCTAGATGTGTATCAAAAAGAATTGAAAGCAGGGACTCAGAGATATTTATATAACAGTATTATTCACAACAGGAATAAAACATGGAAACAATACAAATGTCCCTCAATCAAGATAACAAGTAGGCAAAATGTGGTATTTTCACCCTTGAAAAGGAATGAAATTCTGGAAATGTTACAGTATAGATGGATGTTGAAAACATTATGTTAAGTAAAATAAGCCAGACACTGAATGACAAATATTGTACGATTCCACTTATATGACACAAACTCAGAAAGATGGAAAATAGAATAGAGGTTATTAGAAACTGTAGAAAGGGGGAAAGGAAGGGTTATTATTTAATGGACACAAAGTTCTTGTGGGGATGATGAATTTGGGTATGGATAATGCAATGGTTATATAATACTGTGAATGTATTTAGTGCCATAAATTTTACACTTATGAATGGTTAAAATTATAAATACTATGTATATTTTACCACAATAAAAAATAAAACAGTAAGGGGAAGGAAGGGTGGGAGGGAGGAGAGAAAAAAGAAGGGAAGGGAAAGGCAGGGAAGGGAAGGAAAGAGAAAAGGGAAGGGGAAGAAAGAGAGAGAAAGTCCTATAGCTGGTAGCTTTTGGCTGTAGAATCTCAACTGGAGTCTGCTTTACTAACACGGGAAGAGGAAGGGAGGAAGCAGTCTTGGTTAAAATACCACCAAAGCTTTTTTGTAAATAAAGAGGGGAAGAGAGGCTGAAGGGAGGTAAGGGGAATGGGAAAAAAAAGAAGCAAGATATATTACGTACAGGTACAAATTCCCTGTGATGAATATTATCATTGTGTATATCTAAAATGTACCAATAAAACAACATAAATTGAAAAGAACCCCACAAACTTGCCTTTCTTGCAGAATTTTCATGTGTTTTTATAAAAGCAATGATTTTTCCTTTGTTCTTTGCCTCTAGAACCATTTCCAAAGGGCATGAATAGGTGTTTTTCTTTAATTTTCAACACCAGTTTCATTGATTGAATGCATTAGTTGAGCTCCTCACTCCGAAGCTGATATAGGGATGACTTTATTTATTTATTTATTTATTTTTCATACTGGGGATTGAACTCGGGTCCTTGTGCTTGTGCAGCAGGTGGTGAAACCACTGAGCTAAATCCCCGGCCCCGACTTTGTATTTTAAATGTTAGCTATGCTGTTTAATTTGGTGAACTGTTACAGCATTTGTTTATGGGTTGTAAAATTAAATCTTTAGGATTAAAATATTTCCTTAGAGAACTATGGTAACATTAAATTAAGGTAATCTACCCCTAAATGGGATTTTTATTAAGTCTAGCAGTATACTGATTTCTTTTTTATTAAAGCTTCCATATTTGTATTAAATTATTTTAGAGGAAAGAAAAGGTGCTCTAGAATCCTGACTGCATAAAGGTTTTGTTTATGAACATAGTGGCTGTATTAGCTTTCCCACTTTTGGGATACCCAGTTGGGATACTCACTATCCATAGCTAAAGAAGAAGAGTTGGCTCAATCTCAAAGGATTCAGTGGATGGTTGTTGACTCCAATGGGGAAACACTATGGGGCGGGGGCATGGCAGAGCAAAGATGCCTAGCTCCTGGTGGTGGAGAGCAGAGTATACAGAGGGGAAGGGGCCAGGGACCACATGCAGACCCCAATGCCATGCCTTCATAACTATCCAGACACACCCAGAAGGGTGCTCCATCATTTCCTCAGGGTCCCAGAGCCAATCAAGTTGACACAATCAAATTTAACTTTTACAGTGGTCATTTGTTCTTATGTGTCTGACAGTGAAAGTTTCAGCCTGTGGCTGAACTCCATCATTTTTCAGAAATACTGTCTTAGTTTGGGCTGTTATAACAAATTGCTGTGGACTGGGTGGCTTAAACTATAGTTTATTTCTCAGGGTTCTGATGGCTGGGAAGTTCAAGATTACAGTGTAGGCAAATCTGGTGTCTGGTGAGGGCCTTTTCCTGGCTCTCATTTTATTCTCCACAGTGGGAAAAGAGCAAGCTAGATCTCTGGCCTCTTTGTATAAGAGTACAAATCCTATTTTTGAAGGCTCCACCCTCAGTAACTAAGTCCCTCCCAAATGTCCCTCCTTCAAATATCACATTGGGGATTAAATTTTAACATAAATTTCAACAAATTGAAGGATTCACAAACATTTAGTTCATAACAAATACATCCTTTTTTGCTAAGATTTTTTTCTCTATTAAGTACGTGAATCCAGAATTTTTGTGAGGAATGGCCTTTCAGCCTTTGTATTATGAATAGTTTATGAAGTCAGTATTAGTTATTTTGCCAAAAAGATTCAGTGAATTTATTAGATTATCATTATTGAAATAATGGTTTGTCCAATTACTGAAATAATACAGTCCAGGGAAAGTTAAAAAAAAATCGAGCATTTAGTATGTGCTAGGACTATTACAAATATTTTATTTAACTCTCAGAAGAATATTTATGAGTTAGGAATTATTAGTGTCATTAAGGATGATGAACTAAAACTTTAAGTTTGACCTTTTTCAAGGCGACATAGCAAGTAAACAGGAGAGGGGTCAAGAAAAGAACCCATAGGAACAGGGCAGTCAGAGGGCAGAGAGAATGTGGGCCCTCGATGTCAGAGGCAGGATGTTCCAAAGGTAAATACCTCTGAAAGAAAAACATCATTGATTAGTTGCTATTTTACCATCTGCAGAAATTTTTCTGTGAAAGCATTCCCTGCCAATTTTCAGAAGACAGTTGTGTTAAAGAAATTTTAAAGGATAATTTAACTTTTATAGTTTGTTTACATTTATAGTATAAGAATACACTGTTACTGTTTTTGTACATTCACTTTTATTAAACAGACTTTAGTGTCATCGTGTTTTTTAAAGCTTAATTTTATTTCTGAAATAAGTTCATCAAGGTATACTGATGTCAGTACTGCCCTTGTGATTATTTTTTTCCGGTACTGGGGATTAAACTAAGGGATTTCCCACTGAGTTACAATCCCGGTCTTTTTTATTTTTATTCTGAGGCAGAGTCTTGGTAAGTCTTTAAACTGCCTAGGCTGCCAAGTTAAAATTGCAGTCCTCCTGCCTCAGCCTCCTAAGGGTGCTGGAATTACACTGCGTCCGGTTTCACTGTGATACTTTAATATATAACATACGTAAAACACTTTTTAGGTAATAAGAAAATGGAGGTCCTAAAGTTAAGGCTTCTATAAGAAAGGCAGGGGTTTTTTTTGGGGGGGGGGGTGGAGTAACGGCTTGGGGGAGTGGAAAAGGAGGCTAAGTTTGGGAAGAGGTATCCCTCTACACCTAAGATTAAGGTCTGTATTTAAGAAACCTTAAACGTATGTAGCTTAAATAATACAACCAAGATTGGGGTCTGTATTTAATGATAATTGATCCAGTATCCCGGGTGTGATGTATTTTTCAAAGCCAATCATTTACTATTGGAGAAAATAGGAGCGGTAGAAGAGAGCGGCGGGGGCCCTCGATCCATTGCTTGGAGCTCGGCTAAGCCGGGCTGGGGTCCTCCGAGGGGCTGCGGCTCGGCGCTCGGCCTCGGAGCCGAGGCGGGGGCGGTGAGGACCGGGATCCCGGACGCCGGCGCGACGCGGAAGGTGGGGCTTGGCCCGGCCGCACGGCAGTGCTTGGCCTTCGGAGCCGTCTGCTGCGGGCTGGGGCTGCGGGCGGTGCGGCGGGGTGAGGGGCAGTGTGGTCACTGGCGGACCCAGCCCCGGCCCCGGCCCGCGCGGCTCCGCAGCCGCGTTCCTGTCCAGCCGCGGAGTTTTGAGGCGCTCGAACGGGCGCGGGGCCGGGCGCGCTCCAGTTCGCTGCAGACCCGCTGCCCACGGAGGGGCGGGGTGGTGTTGTGTCCTGGTGGCTCGCGAAGCCTGTCGCCCTTAGCTGGTGCGGTCTCTGCGTCTCAGCCGCCTGTATTCCCGGGGCTGAGAGACCGGCGCGCGGGGGCTGAGGCGGGCAGGCTGGGTCGAGGCGGCCTGGGTCGCTTCTGCTCTCCCGCCTTGCGGGCGCCTCTCGGGGGCCTGGGGCAGGGCCCTTCTCGGGCCCCGCGTGGAGGCCCGGGACGAGGCTCGCGTTTGCGTCTAAACGTGCCAGGCTGGCTGCAGGCGTTTGTGGCGCTCGGTTATTCCACTCTGTGTTGGCCTCTGCTTCTTCACTGACAGAGTTTGTAGCAATTCAATTATTATACGATTTGGGGTACTTTTGAAGTAAGTATGTTTGGATGAGTAAAAATTATGAGAGTGAGCACCAAATCTGAAAATGTTACCAAGTCAGGGTTATAGAGGATAAGAAAATGCTAAATTGTCATCCGCATAGAATAGGTGCAAGTCCTCTCTACAGGGGAAAATATTTAGTCACAAAAAGCAGTTTAAGAACAGAGTCAGACTGCTTGGGATGATATATATTGTGCTTCAGTATGACTTTGTACTACATGCTAAAACAAAAACTTTGTAATAAAAAAACCTAGAACTTGGGGCCGGGGATTTAGCTCAGTGGTTCCGGCGCCTGCCTCGCAGCGCAAGGACCTGAGTTCGATGCCTGGTACCAACCCCCCCCCCCCCCCCCAAAACAAAAACCTAGAACTTGAATTCAAAATGTAGTCATCCACTTACGTCACAAACACACACCGAAATGTAGCAAGGTTCCTTTTAAGGCTTTTTAAAAAATATTTTTTTACGTAATGAAAGTGCTAAATTTATCAAGTTTTAGAACCTTCATGATATGATTTTATTAATCCTGAAAAAAATCATTTTAAATTGAAGGTTGGGGGATAAATTTTTCAGCGTTAGTTGAGAATTGTTTTTACTTAAAATTACTTTTATAAATTGATCATTGCTAATGCATTTATCCCACAGTGAATTTGCATGGATCACTACTGTATGCTAAACACTGTTTTGGGTTATTGTAACATATTAATGAGCATAAAGCCCCTGTGTGCTCTTGAGGGAGAAAGGTAGTAAACAAACATATAATGTCAATTATCTGTTAGTGCTATAAAGAAAAATGCAGGATGAGAGAGTAGAGAATTTTAGATAAAGATTATCTTTTTCCTATAGGAATGCATCAGAACTAAAAAGTACATATAAAGTTTTTCTGAACCAAAATAATATTACCTCTTATGCTAGAAATGGAAATCAAAAGTTCTTCTAACAGTATTTGCTGTTAAAATAGGATTTTTGTATAGTTTATGTCCCACTTTTTTCTCTCAAAAATCCTTTGAATTTGTAGGGTTTAAAAAAAATCTTATTTGCAGTTTTGTTTAGAATAAAGAATTCAAGCATATAAATGTTAGCCTTAAGATTTTCTACTTAAATTCAGAGGTAGCAAAACTACGTAGAAATGGTCTGGTCAGTTTTATTTGTAAAAGTTTTTTTGTTGATTAAAAATGCATAGTTCTAAAATTAGACTGGAAACATTACTTTTTTGGAGAATATAGAAAATAACTAGTATTTTCATTTATGTTTTTCAGATAATTGTTCAAGTTTTGAAATTGGTTATGTACGTAAAGATATTAAAACTCTGTGAGCAGGCTGGGGATGTAGCTCAGTGGAAGAGTGCTTACATAGTATATATATGGCCCTAGATATGTATTTTTTTTGTACTTGGGATCGAACTCAGGATCTTGTGCTTGTGAGGCAAGTGGCAGAACTACTGAGCTAAACCCCTGGCCCAAGGCCCTAGATTTGATCCCCAGTACCTCAAACAAACAAAGCAAAACAGCTTCTGTTAGTATATTTCTAAATGACTTTTCTGCCTCCTATGCTATTATTCTAAGCCTATTCTAGGCTTCTACTTTTTATTAATAGTCTAATTGCTTTAGATATTTATAAAAGCACACTAATTTTTTACTATGTCTTTATTGATAGCAGAGTGATGAATAAATTGAGAAAAAGAGGGCAATTAAACATGTTGGGGAGGGACCAATAACTAAAGCAATAAAAAACCTTCCAATACAGTATTCTGAATGAGTCTTAAAGTATTTGTCAGTTTGAACACTCTTACCTGTAGCATTTTCTCAAGAGATGAACATAGATATATCTTTCCCTACATCACTCCTACTTGTGTCTTATGCTCGTATCAGGGAAGTCCCAATGTTGAAGAAACATAACCTAAATTAGCGATGAAGCTTTCTCCACAAGATGGTGCTCATATAGTTTCTTTGATTTAAATTTCTATTCGGAGGACAAATTTACAGTATCTTAACCACCTCACAAGAAATAGAAATTTAACTTACGTTTTATGATTGGTGCATCTGATTTCATGTTTTCACATATAGAATGTACTATCATGTTTCACAATTTAGAAAAAATTCGATGTAGTGTTGATGCACAGGGGGTGGTAACTGGAACGAGAAAGAAGTAGCATATGCTGTAAAAATGGTGACCGGTACACTGAAGGATGGGTAAGAATTTGCCGTGTGGAGAATGAAAGAAAATGCATTCTAGGCATTGGGATAATATGAAGAGAGGGGCACAAGTGTGAAAATACATGAATGAATAGAGAAGCAAAGAATAATGAATTTGATTAATGAGGCATTTTGAAGGAAGTTATAGAAGATGAAGCTGGAAGACTTGTCTGTGATTGGTTATATCTTACCAGATATTCTGGGAAATTAATGATTTTACTTATCCGGGAACATTATTCTGTATCTTTATAAATAAAATATAAACTACTTTTATTTTACCCTGTAGGTTTATGATAAAGTCCAGTTTTCAACAATGCTAAAATCAAATGACTGCTTGTTTCCTGTGGATAATCTGTTTTTCGAAAAAGATAAAGTTGAAAAGTCTGTCTCTGCAGAATGGTAATATTGTGTATTATTTTAGAGTTAAAAAATGTTAAAGTTTTAATTTCTCTCAGTAAATAATGAAGGGGCAACAGTTACATATTTGGAAAACATGGAATTCAAATCTAAGGAAATAAGTGAAATTTAACATGTTAAATGTTAGATTGGAATATTTTTGACAGTAGGAGAGTATATCCAACTAGAGATGCAGGAGTTAATTAGAACTGACCCAGGCACATTTGGAACATATGGTTATCTTTCTAACAATACAAAATAAAAAAGGTGTGCAAAGCAAATGATAAGCATATCTTCCTGCAATGACCTTTCAGATTCAGCAGGAAGGTCATCTTGGGCAAGATAGTCAAATCAGACTTTATGGTAGTAGAAAGAAGCTTCAAGAGGCTTGGCATTTGAAGGCAGAGTGTTAGAGAAAAAAGAATGAAGATGGCACATCTTTTAGGGGGTAGTGTATAGAGATGATTTCGGCAATAAATGATTCCTAAAGGAAAAATAGTGAGACATAAAGCTAAAAAAAAAAAACAATGGAGGGTGGATTGTTTTGGGTATTCTAGGATAAGAAATTTTTATGTTATTATTTGCTTTTTAAAATCTATGTGTTAAAAGCCAAGTATTTAAATAAACAAACTTACTTGAATAGTATAATTATTATTTTTAATTTCTCCCCATTAAGTGTATTGGTACATTTTAGGTTTAAAATACAGTTACATACATCATTGGGATCTTGTACCGTTACATGAGTATCTTGGTTCTTATTTTTCTCCCCTTCCCCTGCCCTCCTTTCACCCCCTCCACCCTTCCCTATTTGCAAAGACTTTGTTTCCATTTTTTTCCTCTTCTCATATTTTTTCTTTTCCCTTCTTTCCTTTCCCCTACCCCTCCCACTTCCCCTGCTCCTTTAGACCTTTACTTCCTATTATACAATATCATTGTACATTTTTAAAATTACAATACTAAGATCCAGGAGACATTACCACAGATTTTACAGAATTTAAAAGGATGTAGAAAGCATATTACAAAAATCTTTTTTGAAATAAATTTGAAAACTTCTAAGAACCTTGGAAGACAAATTAATGAAACTAGCTCTGGAGGAAATATAAAATTTGAATAGCACCTATTAAAGAAAGTATATTCTTAGAACAGCGGGCTTGTATACATTTTAACTGATAAATTACATCAAACATTTAAAGCAGAAAAATAAAGGAACACTTCTTCCCTCATTTTAGGAAATCAACATTGTGCTAATCCTAAAACTGCGTAAAGATAATAGAAGAAAAAAGTATGAAC